AAGCAAATTGCCATTTAAAAAAAACTGAGAAATCGTTTCGCTTATTCCTGCCAAAACCAAAAATATTCATTTTCTCGTCAAATTTGAAATTTCATTTTCACACCAAAACAAAAAATTGCATTTTTCCGCAAAAACAAAAAAAAATCACATTTTCCTGCGAGAACTTGTGTTTTTCCATCAAAACAGAGAAATCAATTGACAAAAATCAGAGAAATCAAGTTTTTTCACCAAGAACAAAAAAATCATTTTCCCATGAAAACCGAGAAATCGTCAATTTCCGCAAAAAAAAAATCATCAAACTAATAATCAGGTCTTCCTACCACAACTGATAAACTACAATTTCCCACGAAAACCAAAAACTGCATTATCTCCTGAGAAATTATGTTTTCCGCGAAAGCTAAGAAATCTCATTTTACTGCGAAAATCAAAAAATCACATTATATGTAAAAAAACTGAAAATTTGCATTTTCCATCAAAACCGAGAAATTGCTTATTTTTTCCAAAATCGAGAAATTTTGTTTTCCCATCAAACTGAGAAATTGCATTTTTTGCCAAAATCTTCAAATTACAATATCCCACAAAAACTAAAAAATTACATTTTCCCAAAAAAATCAATTAATCACATTATCCATCAAAAGCCGAAAATTTGCATTTCCTACCAAAACCAAGAAATCATATTTTTTGTCAATTGAAAAGTTGCATTTCCTTCGCATTTTCTCGTCAAAACTAAGATATTTTGTTTTCGCATTAAAATTAATTTTTTTTTGTTTTCTCACCAAAACCAAAAATTCACATTTTTTCGCCAAACCCGATAATTCATTTTTCTGCCATAACTAAGAAATTATGTTTTCCTAGCAAAACTGAAAATCACATTATCCTAATGAAACCAAAGAATTCCATATTCCTGCTAAACCCATGAAAATTTGTTTAGAGTAACCACTGGAAATACGAATCTTCAAGTTATGGTGGTCTGAGCTTCTCCTCATTTGCTTTCGACTTCCATTTTTTTGTAAACTTTTAGGCATTTTAATGGGTCTGCAAAATAGTAAACTGATTTTATTAGTATGTGAATGATATGTATTATTGTTATGTTTTTATTGGTTCAAATTTTTGCTGATGTGTAAGCTTCTTATAACATAAGACTTTTTGCGTTGTTGTTATGGAAACATAGTTGATGATGAGCCTAAACAAAGATTTAATTTTTTTTATTTGCTGTTATTTATTATTTGAGCTTGGATTTGACAAAAAATAAAACAAATATTTTTTTATTTGATGTTGTTTATTATTTGGGCTTTAGTTTTTTTTTAAAACTTATTAACAAAAAAATGTATTTGAGTTTTTAATGGGTTTAAATTTAAAAATTAAAATAAGTAGATGAGTTGTATTAATGTTTTAATTTGATTGGTTTGTAAAATAGCTGAGGTGTCAGCTTCTCAAAGATTAAAAAATCTGATGTGTCAATTTATGGAGAGACTTGAATGTTATTGTTGTATTGATGTCGTTTTAGATTTTTTTTGGGTTAAATTATGACATTATGCTTTATAATTAATGTAGGGAGAGAGAAAAAGCGTTTGGACATGTGTGATCGTGAGAGAAACAAACAAAACAAAGTCTTTTTTTTTACTTTTCAAAAAGATATGATTGAAAAGCAAAAAAAAATACTCCTACGTTCCCAAAAGTATGATGTTTTGAGATTTATTTTCTACATTATGTTTAATATATTTCTTTTTCGAAGACAACTTTTTAAATAAAAAATATAAAAAATTAGTATTAAATTAATAAACAAACAAAAAGTACTTTAGAAAAGTAAATGATTATTGTTTTCTTTATATCTGTGAAACATCTAAAACATCTATATTGTAGAACGGAAAGAGTATTATTTAAAAAATAAAAAAAAACAGTTAAATGAATTGGTCATATAAGTGTAATTTATTTGACCTTGAATTAAAAATTAAACATTATTGTTTTTTCTAAGGAAACAACAAAAATGATGCAAAAGTCGTCTCTTTGACAAAATTTGAAACACACAATTACGAGAGAGCTTACATAAAAAAAAAGAACACAAACAAACTGTAAAATGTAAAAAAAAAAGAAAAACAATTCTTCAAGACTTCACAATGGAGTCTCGAGACTAAAATTATATGAAAATGAAACAAAAGCACCAACGACCAAAGGAAGAAACAAGATATCGAATTAGAATCATCCAGAGATTATTATTACCTTCTCCTTTCAGACAAAAGCAGGCATGTCCTTAAGCCATGCATCAAGTGGCTTACCAATGGAGTAAACGATGAAACCAATCTCTCTCAACTTGTCAACATTCAAAACGTTTCTCCCGTCGAAGATAAAGGCCGGTTTCTGCATGTTGTCAAAGATCTTCTGGTAATCCAACGACTTAAACTCATCCCACTCAGTCAAAACGCAAACCGCGTGTGCGTCTTTAGTAGCTTCATAAGCATCCCATTTCACACTCACTTGTTTCACAGTCGTTGGGCTCATCGGCTGCAAGTGAAGCGGATGGTCCCAGTCGAACTTTTTCATCGAAAGGTCTCTCTGAATCTGATCCTCAGTGACCTGTGGATCGTAGATGCTAATCTGCGCTTTGTCACCCAACAAACCTTTACACACATCGATCGCTGGCGTCTCCCTAGTGTCGCCAGTGTCTTTCTTGAACGCGAATCCGAGGATCGCGACCTTCTTGTTGGAGACAGTGTTGAACATAGATGAGACGATCCTGTTCACGAACCGGTTCTTCTGGTAATCGTTGATCTTGATCACTTGTTTCCAGTACTCAGCAACCTCTGGGAGACCGTTGCACTGGCAGATGTAGACGAGATTCAGAATGTCCTTCTGGAAACAAGAGCCTCCGAATCCGACACTTGCGTTCAAGAACTTGGGACCGATTCTTGAATCGGTACCAACGGCGTAAGCCACCTGAGTGACGTCAGCGCCGGTGGATTCACATAACGCCGACATCGCGTTCACCGATGAGATCCTCTGAGCCAAGAAAGCGTTTGCGGCTAGCTTGGAAAGCTCAGCGGACCAGAGATTCGTCGTGATGATCTGGTTTTCAGGAACCCAGTTTGCGTAAACTTCTTTGAGAGTCTGAACAGCTTTGAATCCTTCCGGTGTTTCTCGCCCTCCGATCAAAACACGGTCAGGGTTGAAAAGATCGGTGATGGCAGTTCCTTCGGCAAGAAACTCAGGGTTCGAGAGAATCTGAAACTTGATTCCTTTACTGTTATGCATCAAGATCTTCTCGATTGCTTCAGCTGTTTTCACCGGCACAGTGGATTTCTCAACCACGATCTTGTCAGAGACAGATACATCAGCGATCATACGAGCAGCGCTCTCCCAGTAAGTGAGATCAGCAGCTTTGCCAGCTCCAAGACCGGTGGTTTTGGTCGGCGTGTTAACAGAGACGAAGACGATGTCAGCTTCTCTCACATGCTTCTCCACATCGGTGCTGAAGAAGAGGTTTTTGCCTCTGCATTGCTTAACGATGTCTTCAAGGCCTGGCTCGTAAATCGGAAGCTGATCACTGTTCCATGCGTTGATACGAGGCACGGAGATGTCGACGACTGCTACTTCAACGTGTGGACATTTGAGTGCAATCACAGCCATTGTTGGACCTCCAACATATCCAGCTCCAATACAACAGATCTTCACCATTTTGTTAAACTCTCTCTCTCTCTGCAAAAAAATCGAATCAAAACTCAGATCTCTCTTTTCCATTTTATAGCAACAGATCTTCACCATTTCTTAGATCTCTCTACAAAGATCGTTTAAGATCCAATAGCAACAGAGATTGACATTTGTGATTCAAATCCAAAATCAGAAAACGGATCAGATCTGGACTAAGTAAAACAAACAACGAAAAGTTGATATGTAAGCAAGAGATCATTCACGATTCGATCTGCAACGACGGAAACATCCAATAAAAACAAAAATTACTCGAAAATCACGTGGATCTAAACACAATCTAGCTCCAGAAACCGATGATGATTGTTAAATGAGCGCGATTAACAAAGGATCTATACATTCGAGTATCCTAATTAGAATTTTGAACACGGAAAGATCCGATCTCTAAGAGCGAGTGATACCGATCGACGATTCAGAGAGAGAGATTAGTCAAGAATCAACTACAGTTTTGCGAGAAGATCTCTAATGCAATTGAAAAAGAAACTTAAAATCAGGTAGAGAGAGAAAGATAGAGATCGGCATTACCTTCGAAGATTAGCAGTGGAGAAATTGTTCTCTTTGGAAGATAGTTTCAACGAGGAGGAAGAAGAAGAAGAAGAAATGGAAGTAATTTATAGGAGACGTATTTCCGATTTTGTCCTTTGACATCCCAACTTACGGTGGAGCGAGAATCCAATCACACGCCAGGGTAAAACGGAGAATACTTCGGAAGTATAATCGGAAATGACGAAAACGCCCCTGTTGAAAGCAGCCCATGTTTTTACATTTCAATGGTTTGGAACTGAAGTAAATATTTTTGGCTTTATAACTTTTAAACGTTGTATTGTTCTTTGAAAATTTATTATATTTTGTGTTTCTACCTAATTCCGGTGGGTTTTTATAATTTACTTTACTTACTTTTCCTTAAATTTGAATATCCCACCAAATCTAATCACCACCAAATGAATTAAAAATCCTTAATCCAAAATCTCCCCCTAACATACTGTACTTGATTTAAGAATTTAAGAATCCAAATTATTTGGTTTTGAGTCTTATGATAAGGCATTTCGGTTTTTGATTTGGTTAATCACTTTTTCTTATGTCTGCTTAAAACTAAAATTTTCGAGTCAAACAAAAACTTAATCAATATAATCTATTTAGAAAAATGTGTTTAGAATTAAAAAAAAATCATACTAGACTAAAACCAAATTAACATATGACTAATCAAATGATCCGAGAAAGAGCTTTAATTAAATAAAACCATAATGGGCTTATTTTCTTTGACTTGAATCTTCCATTGTAATTCCTACATAAATTTGTTTACTTTTGGGAAGATTATAATTTACCCTCAAATAAAATGTGTGTACATTATTTTTTATTCTAAAGGAAAGAAAAAAAAAGTATGCTTCGAATTCGCAAAATTTTGTGAGAAAATGCCAAATCAATGAACATACTTAAATCCAACATTTTACAAGCTACCAATTTTGCTCAAAATTGTTTGTTTCAACTTTGCCTCGACAAGAACTTATTGCTGGTTGAATAAGGGCAGTCAACAACTCTTAACCAGCTCAAGGGTTGATTCCATTAAGTGTATTCGCGTATGTATAGCTTGAAAACAAAACAAAAAGCTTTCGGAACCTGCACAATCACATAAACAAAACAAAACAAAAACTTTACTCTTCAAAAGAAGGCAACAAAAATTCATGTTTCAAATCTTTTCATGCTCAAGAATCATCATGATGGTAGAGATGAGAGAACATAGATAGGGGAAAGAGACATACCAAACCCATTGGCTGAAATGTTGTGCCATTGCTTCAAAGCTTTTCCAAGGTTGCTCATTAATGATGATTAGCTTGCTGTGATGATTTCTGGCGGAAAAAATTGACACCCAAATGTCGATAGGTCCAAAGTACTTGCGAAAGATATTAAGGCTTACCTGATTTAAAAAAATAAAATAAACCGTGTAAATATTCTAGCTGAAAATCGATTTCATAAACATACTTTTTAGTTCCAAAAGAGAAAAGAGAGTAAAACTCACGAGTTCCCAAGCTTTGATATTTCTTTCTGAATTAATCTGTAAGAACTTTCTGCATGTACACAAACAACACAGTGATGAGAAAGGAATTTGCGGTTAACATGACTCAGGGATCAAAACAAGTCTTAACGTACAATACTCCACGGTGCACATCACGGTGATTGCAATGACCCGAAACACCATAGTTATCGAATGTTATGATCTGAAAGAAGTACATAGGTGATCAAATACTTTTTTTTTAAAGTGTATGAGTGTCTTTAAACTAGGCTTCATGAGCCAAGTCTTACCGTGTGAATATCATGTTTAGTGACTTCTTCATCGATGATTTCCGTTAACAAATCATGGCTCCAAACTTGCCCAAAACCATCCTGAGAGAGAGAGAAAAATAGAATATAGTATTCCTCAGTGCCCTCAAATGAGATGGTGAATGAAAAGTTCAATATAATAGCACTAACCTGTAAATTTGGATGGTCCAGAATCTTTAACTGTTGAAGAGGAATCTGCATATCACGTCCGATATATATTTCAATAAACACGGTCTTCACTGGAATAACAAGAAAAAATATCATAAATCTCTTCTTTGACAAATTGGATATACCCTGAGCACTGCGCAAGCCTGATGCAGCTCATCTTTCCTAATACTTCCCATACCATCGGCGTTACCTGAAACAAATACATTCATCGTAAGTGTCCCAAACGAAATCCAAACTCTATCTCAGTAGCATCCCTCACTTTTACACCAATGTAGAAAGTATGTAAAGGTACATTACCAGTGGACAAGCACAATATGTGAAGGTTATAGCCATTGGAAGTTAAGTAGTTTATTGTTGGAGAAAAGAACCTGTCAAAGACTAATCTCTCAGTCTAAAACACACAAAAAAACACTAATCTTGACATTTCATTAATTCCAACTACAGCCAAAGAGAGATGCATTTTAGAATCTTACATTGACTCATCATCAGGATGTGCAATGATGAACAACACATTTTTGCTGTGAGGGGTTTTACCTGAACACAGTGAGATATCAAGTTTTGCATAAAAGTAAGCATTAAAAGAAACAAGTAATTCATCTTCCGATTACTTGCCATCATCAAGAATTGCAGCTTTGGAACCAGATGCTGCTCCAAAGAAGATTTTGCATATAGAAGCCACCCAGATAACAATCAGCGAAAGAGCAATTACAAGCCATGCCATCTGACAACATGAATGATACTTATATCAATACAAAAATTTCAGTATATTCAGCAGAAAGAGGGACCTATATGTGGAGAAAACCAAATTAGGAAGCAATGAAACAAGAGTGATCAAGTTCAACAGATATAGTTAAGTGTTCAAATCATGAAATGGTAAAAACCAATGTGGGTTTGTATCGCATATAGCTTCTGTATAAGTTGATTTAACTCATTTCAGATGAGCAGATCAGAGGCATGTCCAACGTTGTGAATTATGAATGACCAGAGCAGTCCTGATGAATGAATGTCTTTAATCACCTAATCATTGTATACTAATTTTTTAATTTAATAGGGAAACAAAATTGTATATGCCTCTTGATCAACAATTTTAATCAAGAACAGGACCAGTGAAGGTTCAAAACTACATCAATTATCTTCATAACAAGTTATCATCTCACCAGAGATAACATCGTGCAACAACAAAGAAATTTAGAATGTCAGTCTAACCATAGAGTTATGTCTAGTTTCAAGTCTTCAGTTTCAAAAACTGATCAGAAGAAGTAAGACAAACCTCAGTTTAAAAAAAAAAGACTAATGCAACTGCTTGCAATTAATTCACTCAGACATTTTGTCGAACAGCTAATCTGCAATGCACATTCAGTAATATTTTGAAACCTAAAGGCAACATTTCTATTAAGATTTCTGATTCAAAAACATCTGTAACCTTAAAAGAAGCATTTTCTGAATTCTAATCACCATAATACCTTGTAATCTAAACCCAAATTAATTCAGGAGAATCCAAAAGAAGGAAGCTTACCGATTACAAAGGGTAGTTGCAGCAGAGCATGGTAGTGCCGATGTTCCTGAAGCTCTCCGAATTATTGAAACAAAAACTCGTTCTTTCAATTCTACAATACTCACTAGAGGAGAGAAGAAGAACGCACTGAAGAATTACGGCTGCTTTGGTTCAAGTTACAAAACCCCTCTCAATTCAAATCAATTGTAGTGTTTTAGCTTGTACCGATAACCGACCGGTCCGGTTTTTGTAAAACATTGGTCTAATTAGTAAACACGCTGGGAAAAGATAACGTTGTACTAGAAGACTAAAACCAAATTAGCATATGATTAATCAAAGGACCTAAGAAAGAGCTTTAATTATGGGATTCGAGAAATCTAAAGCATGTCAAGAAGCCACAAAAAACATATATTCCTTAGTGTCAGCAACATCACAGAAATCCAATTGAATCCCGGAAACATCGAGAATCCCATAATTTATCTAACTATATTTACGTACATTTCCATTGATATCAATAATTAATCACAATCAAGTAAATTTTTAATTAAAGAAGGATTCAATCATGAAACCCTTAAAAACAATCATATATGGACAAGTTTTGATAATGGTAATGGTGATGTGGGTCGTGCCCATGAGTTACGGTCATGGTGACGACGTGCCGATGGCTGGTGATGAAACCGACGCGCCGGTAACTGAAAATGTACCCAACCCACCCACGAGTGACGGTGATGGAACTGGCTCACCCACGAGAAGCGGTGATGGAACGGACCGATCCACGAGTGACGGTGATGGAACCAGTCCACCCACGAGTAAAAGTGATGGAACCAACCCATTCACGAGTAACGGTGAAGCAACCGGCCCACCTACGGGTAACGGTGAAGGAACCGGCCCACCTATGAGTAATGGTGATGGAACCGACTCACCCACGAATGAGAGCGATGGAACCGGCCCAGCCACGAGTAACAGCGATGGAGCCAACGTGCCTGGTGGTGATGTACCAAACCCACCCAATGGTGGCGATGGAACGGACACACCCGAATCTGGTTGGCATGAAGCGCGTGCCACATTTTATGGTGACATCAATGGTGGAGAAACACAACGTAAGTTTACGTAGAACATACTAATCATTTCATAATCTCAAGACCTCTCAATCTGTTAAGTGCTTTTTGACGATTTAAAACGTATATATTAGCCAACATGAACACATAGTAAACGAGACTCACGCTTTCACCTCGACCAAGAGGAGAATGGATTTTTGTTTTCTGTATGCATTTACAATTAACAGAGCCAAAATTTAGGAAACAAATTTTGAAAATACCATATTATATAACATGTAACAGTAACACTAAAAACACATATGCAAACAAACCGAAGCAATAGTTATTATAAATTAATATACATACTCATTTTTTTTCATGTTATATTTGATAGAGGGAGCTTGTGGATATGGTGATCTACACAAACAAGGCTATGGTCTAGCCACAGCAGCACTAAGCACGGCTTTATTCAACAACGGGTACACATGTGGAGCTTGTTACGAGATCAAGTGCGTGAATTCTCCACAATGGTGTTTTCCCGGAACCATCAAGATCACAGCTACAAACTTCTGTCCACCAGACTACACCAAGGCACAAGACTGTTGGTGCAACCCACCACAGAAACACTTTGATCTCTCCCAACCAATGTACCTCAAAATCGCCAAGTACAAATCCGGGGTTGTCCCGGTTAGATACAGGCGTGTTCCTTGCGCGAAAACCGGAGGTGTCAAGTTTGAAATCAAGGGCAACCCTCATTTCCTAATGGTCTTGCCGTACAATGTAGGAGGAGCTGGAGATATTAGGGCCATGCATGTTAAGGGAACCAAGACCGAGTGGATTCCGATGAAGAAGAACTGGGGACAGATTTGGAACACTGGTGTTGTTTTAACCGGACAATGTTTATCGTTTAGGATCACTACAAGTAATGGAATCACGAAAGATTTTATTGACGTGACACCGCCTACTTGGAGATGTAATGGACAATCTTTTGATGGAAAGGTTAACTTTTAGGAAACATGATTTGTGTTTTATTAGCTAAATTAAGTGGAAGGGAGTAAAGGTAAATTAATCTATAAGTAGTCCTTTTTTCAAAGTATAACAATCTCCATTTTTTATCGGTTCTATTATTCTTTTCGTCAAACCTCTGAAGCAATTTTCTTTTACTTGTAATTAGGTGATTCCTCCACCCTTGTCAGAATAAAAAATTTACAAAATTTTTTGAATATTAAAAATGAATTATATGATTGAAGTATTGCAAGTTAGTAATCTATCATTTTCTATTTCTTGCACCGTAAGCAATCAAACCACTTCATACTATGCAATTATTTTTGGGTGGGAATGATTCTAGAGCTAACACATTATACATAAGTATTTTCTTTTACTATGCATCTTTGCATTTTAATAATTTGTAATTTTTGTTAGGTAATTTTATTAGATTCAAGTGAAGAAAGATCAGATTTTCAACGAATAATACCATGTCTATAAAGACCGCATTTAATTCTCACTGAACTCACCTCTATGTTCACGTATAACTATTTTCATAGTTTCTCAAATTAGATTTTAGTTTCCATCTTGTATGTTTTGAAATTTTCCAATGCCACATCCTTACATTTCAGCAAGTATACACATCTATCACAATATATTTCATTGTAGGTAACATCGTTATGCCACCATCCTATTCCATTTTTTTTAACTAGAAAGAGTTCAGAAACTACATTATACGTGTTATTCTCAGTCATATTGGGATGAGATTTATCATTGTCTCTGCATGATTCAATTTTTCTATGATATTCGTCAACAATGATACGACATGCATCAGCTTTTTGAACCATCCTGTCACACTTGTGACTGTTTCCACTGAAATTCTATTAAGCATTATGCTTTTTGAAGCAAATGGAGATTTTCAGAAGAACCTTAAATATCCCCTTGTTTTTATGCTCAACCACTTTTACATTATATGTTCACAAATGTGACACCATATGACACCATATGCTTTTGATTTGCAGATTTCATCTGCTGTCTCACCATCAAATCAAGACTCACAGCTTTTTGCTTATGACATAGATAATTATTAAAAAAAACTTTCAAACTAATGGGATTTTCTCAATCAATCAACATGTTTGGTATGTCCAAAAAATTAACATCTTTTCGGCCATTATATCATGTATTAACAGCTCTTCGACTTTTCTACGAGGGACTTAAGTCAACCAATTTAAAGTCCAGAAATTTCATCAATGCGAATTTCTTAGAGCGTGTATTCTTAGATTTGTACTTCTTCTTTAGGAAACTCATAATTCCATATAAGTATTTATATCACTGTAGACTTACACAGTTATTTGTACATACATTATTTCTAACATTGTATAGAATAGTCTCAATAATACAAGATGCAAACTGACTAGAGATTTAATGATTCTCAAGAGAAAACATATGTTATCCTCCTCAAGTTACTTTTTTAAAGTCAACATGTTCAGGGAGGTAAACAACGTCTCCTGACACATAATAAATCTACTTCCACTGAACTTGTTTTGCATTAGTCCTATGTTTAAAGCACTATGCATTAAAATAACAATCTAATAAATATTAGAATTTGGCACAATCACATGTGGTAGACAACTATCAAACTGAATTTGGTGCGTTGACTCAATAAAGAATATCAATCCATAAAGCACACAAAATAGTATATGGCATATCATTCCCAATTTGGGATGTTGATTCACCATACTTGTTGCCATATTAAACGTTTATCAAAACATTGTTAGACAGCCTTTTAAAAACGATTCGAACTATATATACTTATATACATGTCTGTTTTATACAGCTAGTCCAATGATAATTATACTGAAAATTAAATATATTCAAAAAGAATCAAGATCAAATTAGTATACTAATATACAATTTATAAGTTTAATGATAAATTTACAATTTAAACAAATTGCAATAAATAATTAAATTAAATTCTGGATATTGACAAATTTAGAAATCAACAATTTAATTAAATGTAGAGACAAATAATCAATACAATATAAACAGTCAACTTAAATTGTATAGATTTATTATTCAAATAATTCCAGCAATTAACAAATGTGGAAAAAGCGTTATACAAATTGTTTTGGTTTCATTTGCTAATTAAATAACAAAGTTCAGAACCGATATCAATTGTCTAAAACCAAACCGTGTAACTGTAAATACGGTTTTAAACAGATCAAACATAAATTAAGTTTTGACTAGTTGTTTTTTATAAGGTTGAAAACTATGTTACAAAACAATATCTAAGTCACTTTTTGATCCTGAAACCTTTGTTAAAAAGATTTGATTTTTAAAGCTTTTGATAAACAAAACACTTTAATTTGCTTTTAATTAACTCTCCGGTAAAAATGGAATTAATCATAAAGAATTGAAATCCTTAATTGATTTTGAGTTATTATGTTCAATTTTGCAGCTATAAATTTGATGAAAATCAATTATTTAATTATAAAAAATACATGATTTTGGCCAAATTTTATTCAACTTTAACTAGGAAAATTTTATTTTTAACTAAGTTAAACTTTATGTATTAATCAAGTGTACATATGATAGTTTAATATAAAAGAGAGGTTATTGGAACAAATTTCATCTATCATGAATCCACGCCTAAACTGAAATCAGAATCCGAACCATTTTTGGATTCGTCTTGGTGCATGCACATGTGATTTACTATATATTTAAATCTTTATACAATTATCCAAAGATTTTTAACTTAGTTAGGACTTTTTCATAATATATACTAGTTTATTTTGTGCTTTTTAAGCAATACACATTAGACAAATATTTCTTATTCAATTAAACTCTGATTTTGACATATAAATATGTTTTATATAGTGTTCGCGGCGATGAACTAATCGGCTAATAATTTAGTTATTCTCTTAGAAATATGTCAGAAATTTGATCGAAAATGTACCAGTGCATCATATCTTAAAATTAAATTCTAACAATAAAAGGAGTATGAAAAGTCTCTAAAAGTGTAATGTATATAGTATATATTTAATTAAAATTTTGGATAGTAATATAAGTGAGTTGTGGTTATATATTGTCGTATTGTTTTTGCTATTTATAAATTATTACATAATTTTATTGTATTTTTTTGGTGTGGATTATATTTAATTAATTTTTATTTTTTAGCGTAGTTGATATTTTTATTCTCTTTTGTTGATCAATTTAATTCCTCTTATGACTTTTAGAGTTTTTTCATTAAGTCCTATTTTATATTTTATGTAGAATATAAAGTGATTGATATCAATATACAAAATGACACATGACATTATATTTTTGGAAAAAAAACTTTACTATTATAACATAAAAAAAAAATTCCTTACAAATGTAATTAATAATTAGATATATTAAATAAGTTCACAAATGAGGGGAAAAATCATTCAATTTCTACTTATTTTATATTTTAGGTAGACAATCTACCTACAATAGAAAATAAGTAAGAATTGAAAATGATTATTTCTTCATTGCTCGGTGGGTTAGTTCGTTATACCTACAAGTGACATATACAATAAACCCAATTTAATTGTTTGAAGGCATAAGATTAAATTAGTTACTCTAAATTTATTAATTTTTCAAAATATTATAAAAGATAAAACTTTTTTATAACTTTATTTATCGTGATATTCTAATTCTATTCACAAAATTTTCTAAATGACTAAAAAAGTTAATAAATAATATTTTTAACTGTAAAATGTATTTTTTATACATTAAACTTTTTATAACTTTATTTATCTTGATTTGGTTTACTTTGCTTGTTATATACTATATTGTTTTGACATTTTTATATAATCAAACCATAACGCGATAATTCTATTTAAAGATCAAATATTATTACATATGGTGTTTTATAATTTTAATATTAATAGCTTTTTATTAATATTTTAAACTTCAACAAGTAGGATAAGATATACCACAAGCTGCTAAAATTCTGTGAGCAGATGAACCGTAATGTTGACGAATGAACGGGTCATTCATGTAGCTACACAGACACACCGACTCTTGTTCTTTCAGTCTCTCGCAACATTCTGTTGACGGTTGACTTCCGGTTAGTGCTGCCGGCAAGCAGACTTTAAGTGGTACCGCACTGCATACATTCTGCCGACGGTTCTCTTCTAAGTTTTCTTCCAAAACTGCTTTGATGGGAGCAAATAACGACAAAACGATTACCACAAATGCGATGCAAACTACTGTTGTGAACTTCATTTTAAAATTTTGGTGACTCTTTCAAACAAATTCTAGTTTTTTTATTGTTACAAAATGTTTGAGATGTTGATTTTGAGGTTGGCAAAGCTATTATATAGGAGAAGACTTGGGCAGTGACTGCAATAGGCAAGTTTTGGGTAGTATATTTTTTAATTATTGCATATCATATCTGGGTAACTAATTATTGTGACAATGACACATTTGTATACATGAATTTGACTGTGTTACACATGTTAGAGCATGTCCATTGGAGTATTTAGAAGGGTTTTAAGATGGGTTTTTAAGTTTAAAATGATTAAAAGAAATGATTTAAGTGTTACTTTTATTAGAGACGTCGCTTATTCAAAGTATTTCAGAAATGCTTAGAGATCCATACGTGTCAATTTCTAATTGCACGTATTTATATACAAAAAAAATTAACCAAAGAAAGAGAAAATTGATGCCATATTCTCTCTTCTCCGATCAACGATTCTCTCTTCTCCGATCCACGATTCGGGTGAAATTTGAAAATCCGAACAAGGAAACAGCAGAATCCTGACTCTGATCATCATTATCTCACGTCGTTCTCCTTCTTCAAGCCATCGGAAATCGATGACGCCATCGATTCTGTCGTCGATCCTCTTTAGAGACTTTGCGAAGGACAGCATTCGCCTCGTTAAGCATTGTCACAAACCAGATCGCAAAGGTATAGTTACCTCAGTCTTCTTATCCCAGGGATTATAAATGGATTTAGCCTTTGATTTCCCTTTTTCAGTTTGGAATTGGCGTGTTTAGAT